AAGCCCAACTCGATCTCGATTTTGGCAGTTTTCATCGAATAATCAGAAGCCCTTAGGTTCTCGCTCTTATGTGTCTGCTGCCTTCTGTCGGGCTCTGACTCGCCGACCTCGCCTTATAGAATTCCCTTCGATAGACTGACGGACTATGCCATAATTCGCGCTTATTTTTACGCTTTCGTGCCGAATCCAGGGGTATGTGGGAAGTTAAGTGTACAAATCGATTGATAGATCTGCCTCGCGATAGATTGCACCTCGAGACTTTGCCGTAAATTTTCAACCCAATGATGCAGTTCGGATAATCCAAAACTCCGCAGTTTCTGAATTGTAAGGTTCCAAAAGCGGACAAGATTTCAATGCTTGGAGGACGAAGTACATCGAATTGGTCAGCAAAGCCTGCGACAAAGACGTTTCCACGTCAAAATAAGGTGAAGTAATCGGTGGATGATAGTTCCTTTTCATGCACCGATCACGATGATCTGTGGCTCCCTTTGCGTGCCGGGATCTCGCCGGGAGCGGTCTTTCAAGGTTCTTCGTTTTCCGTTTTAACCGAGCGTTGCCATCGATCATTACTATCAGTACCGTTCCCAATGAAGATGCCGAAGATGCTGCTTCGGGGAGCCCCCAGAAGAGTCTCGCTGTTCTCACTATACATGCTTTTCGGCAGCTTTCAACATCGATGTCTTAAATTCTCGATCCAACCGCGTTGGAGAGAGGGCTCGCTGAAATGTAGAATCCAGAGGAATCACATAATAACAAGAATTTATTTACAACGAGTTGAGCTACATCTTCTTTGGTCTGTACAAAACGATGAGCAATATGTACACCAGCACATGCACGCTCTTATTCACGATCTCGAATGATCCGATTGGCACATGCTCAACCTCGAGCTCGTCGACAGAAAACCAAGACGAACACGGATGTATGCATATTCGCAGGAGCTGTACGACACTCAGTCAGTTACTTTGACCATGACCCACAAACAGGAACGGCAAACGCTACAGCACTCAAAACATAAGTTAACAATAGGTTATCAGGACTAGACGAACACTTCCTTCTCGACGATTCACCATTGACGGGATCACGAGGACTTCGCAACCGCCGAATTCGACGCCTTCGTGTGCGGGGTCCGCTGGGGTTGCAGGGTGGAGACATGGGGCCGGGACTCGCTGACGATGAAAGCGTCACCCGCTGCGGAGGAAGCGAATTAGCGAGCGCGAATTCTGTCGGTTTCGGGATGAATCATATTCACGATCGAACCCGATGGAGCTTTCCTCTGACTCGCGATTCTGACGCGTAACGTCAACGGGATGCGTCGTTCGAGATACGGATTCGATACGCACCCAAAACCTCGTAGGAGAGATTGGCTGTTCATCAGCTTTCATTTCTACTGAAATCCGGCACCTCATCATGACTTACTCAGCAAGGGATGCTTATGCTTCATAGACGTTGAAGCCGCTGCCAGGATATTATCTTTCATGTCGAGAGTCTTGATGTCGTCTCCAATCACCATGTGACCCACGTCTGAGCCGAGATCGAAATCTGAAATCGAATTGAAGGAATCGACCATTTCACCCATCGAGGATTTCTTTGCGCCGAGCTCACTGCGCGGGATGAGAGTGTCCGACAAATCTCGACCAGGAGAGATGACTTATCGCATAGATATTATTCACAGCTACTCACGAGGAGCCCATGATTCGAGTCAATCACAATCGGAAATCACAATCGAGTGTACCTTTCATTGCATCCGAGAAGAAATCGCCGTTGATTCCCGAGCCCAGCCCATCGTCCATTGATTGGAACACCGTGTCGGGCTCATGAGTTCCCATCATATCCTTGAGATTTAGATCGGAGTCGGCAAGGAAATCATGCATGCCTCCGGAACTAATATCTCCGGCGGTGACGGGTAACTGGCCCACGGTCGGCATGCCGTGTAGATGAACTGGCCGCGAGAACGGTCCCAACATCATGCCGTCGACGGTCTTTATGGCGACCGGACCCCCAATCGGGGACTTGATTATTCCTCGAGGAATGGCGATCGGGATCCCGTGAACGAAGGAGTGCTGACCGTAGGCCATCGTGCGACCACCACTACGACCTCCCTTATAGAAGCCCCCGTTCGGCGTAGGTCCTCGATAAACATATCTTGGAGGCGCAGAGCCGCCTGGCAGATATGGGCCATGATGCATGACGACAGGGTAGTGCACGGGACGGGAATGGCGGTAGTAGCCAGGATGAGAGCTGTACGGAGACGGAGGATGTGCATAATGCGATGGAGGAGGCGGTGGTGGGTAGTGGTGGGCGGACGAATAGTGCGATGGATGTGGGGGCGGCCGGGGAGGTGGGGAGCGTACCGGCGCTTGGTCCGAAGGTGCCGGTCTAGGTCCCGCACTCGAGTACCTTGCGGGTGCCGGAACGTAAACGGGGTGGTCCTGTGCCTCGGCAGGGGGCCTGCCGTAACCCATCAGAGTCAATAGACCAGTGGTCATTGGAGACATTCCGAAAAATCCACCGAGACCGGACATGCCGGTTATGCTTAGAGGGTTTAATCCGAGAGGCGAGGCCATCGGCAGTCCTCCGAGCCCCATCCGGCCGATCATCCACCGTTGTATCCTCTGAGACATACTCTTCGGCACATCCTGCTGCGCCGACGACTTTGGACACGAGAGAACAATCAACACTAACACCGACAGATACGACCATCGAAGATGCATCTTTGAAGTGAGCGCCACGACAGCGATCGGACCCAGTTTTATGAAGAGGCAACGCAGGAGAGGAGGGGCGGATAAACATTTCCAGCGTGGAAACGACTGCGCGAACGGAAAATCGGCAAGACACGAAAGAGTTCTAGTGAGAGGGAACAATGAGATCGATCCGATGGGAATGGGGGTTTATTTACCCCGGTACCTACTCAAGATTCCATTTCATTTGGAATGAAATCAGACTCACTTTTCGGAGAAGAGAATGAGCAGAGAGAAACTCAACAGAAGTTCACGGCATGGGGTGAATCACCCGAACAGCGGTAGCTGGGGCTCATCACTGCGCGTTTGAATTTATTTTGCTCATTCTGATTACTATGTATAGCCCAAGGTGTCCCAGTAGTCGAAGTTGTCCAAACTGCGTGGACAACTAGTGTATAATGCCGTCAGGCAACCCAGATTTGACGGTGACATCAAACATTCAGGGGATCGTCATCAGCGAATACATCATTTCTGTACTTGCGAGGAAGATCACGGCGCTAAGCGGACAGGTCTCATTTAAGAAGCGTGGAAGTCGATTTCCTCTCCTAGTTATCGCTCTTCGGACGTTCTACTTAAGGAACCAGCATTCTTGAGACGATCATCTAATTGCATCGGAATTATTCGACATTGATTTGAGTAGCACGATAATAGAATTGTCGTGACTCTTGCCGACGATGCAAAAGTCCTTTAGTGATATCGCAGGAATTTCTTCAGCGTTGCTCCCTCCGGGCTTCGGACAAACGGGAGACTTGCCTTCTCACCGCGTCACCTGACTCCTCTCTCGGAATGTCGTTCAGCTTGAAATTCGTTTACCCCAAGCTATTGGATGGCGTCAGGAGAGTCAGAGACTCGGGATCCTCGTCGATGCGAGCTTCTGTGCAGACCCCCATGTCAGGCGCGACGTTTGGGTGCATCCCTTCTGTCCTCGGCTTCATTTCCCTTTGCGGGGAAGGGGAGGGGGGGGGGGGCGTCGCGGGCTTATTTCGGACTGGAAACTTTCCGGATACTCAACCGGCATGATGAGGAGTCCAAGCTGTCCTCGATGCCCCATGACCGCAGAATTCAGCCCCGCAGACGAGCATTCCCAAGTTGAACCGGGACCACCGGCAGTGGATCCTGATTCCGACGGGATGTTGACGACTCATGCGATCCTCGAGATCGCTCCTAGCATCTAGAAGCAATCTCGATCCCCCCAGGGTTACAGTTCCTAGAAAACGGGTCGCGATCCGTCGGAGGAAAAGCTCATCTTCGGGCATTCATTCGTAAGATTCGATTGAATATGTTTTCAGCAAGATGACTATCCGCGCGTGACATCGCTGGATATCACCCCGTCCCTCATTTGATCGTGGAGAAACGTGTAGAGTGCGTCCCCCTCCGCCGATTGCTCTCGAACGAGACTCGCTCAGCGACATCTTTTCATCGGCGTGTTCGTCGTTCTCAGGATCGCTGACGCTCCATTCAGATCTCGGACCCCGATTAATCATGCTCTGATATTGTGTAATGCTCCGAAGTCTAGGCTCGTAATTTTCGGATCACGAAAACGCTTCCCTCCGTGTATCCGAGGCATACGAATTTTTAGCGATTGTTCCACCAATTTCGACGCCGGGGCTTCCCGTGTCTCAGGGAGCGTCTCCCCTATCATCATGATTTTTTTGATTTCCCCGCCGTTTCGAGGCAGCAATCCATTCTGGTGGAGCTCTCCTGCATGATTTTCACCCTTTTCTTCTTAACCCCCTGGCATGGAGGAGTCAGACACGTTCGATGGTGTTGTATCCTACGTTGTGAAATGTGGTTTTTTACTCTTGATTAACGACGCGGCGTTCTATATCGGACCAAAAGAGAAGTTCCGTTTCTCTTCCTCCTTTTGAGTTTTGATAATGCGCCGTCTGTCATTCCTCGAAGCTACGCGATTGAGTGAAATCACTCGATACGGTCGTGGGCCGATGTATCGAACGGAGTGTCTCACTGTGAACGAGATTTTTTGTAGAATGGCACGGGCGCGTCGCTGGCTCGCGTGTTAAATGAAGCGTGCCACTGTTTCTCCCCATTTTACTAGCTCCTTCAGCGATCCCCGTCGAATTGGCAAAAAGACGGACACCGAATATTTAGAAGAATTCGACGCATCCGATGTATCCCCGAGTCTTCCCGTTGAGATAATCGTGTTCAATATTAGACCGTAGGCGAACAGTGTTACCGAGCGAGAAAAAAGATGGGAGAAACGCATCAAGTCGTGTGAGGCACGCGGGCGATGACCAATCCTTCCCTTATTTTGATGCGGCATTCTCGATGCATCGTCCAACGCCGCCGCTGCATCGCTTGTTCCCCAAGTCGAATTCGCAGTGACACGAGAAAAAATCGATTTTGCCTATCGGGAGACGATGCCGACTTTAATCTCGTTTCCTACACGGGACTGCTTAGCGGTGACCGCCGGCGCCGTACACTAACCAGTTGACTCGCGGCATGACCATCGAAATTTCGGAATGCGGCGGCTTTCTCGGGTTTCAGTCGATACGTGACAAATACGCATCTCTCACGATATTTCGGAATTTAAGCACAAGGAAATATCGGGTGTGGTCCGACGCCGAATTCTCGATACAGAACACCCCAAAAACGATTCATGTTTTGAATTCTCCTCTGGTGTTGAATCGCTTCTTGACAGCTGCCGTGACCAGCCACCGCAACACTGATGAAACGCGACGGAACCATCGAATCGAGAGACTTGTTGGCGGTTTCATTGTTTTCCGTCGACTTGCCCAGTTTTTCTCGGAGTCTTCCCGCCGACATTAATAAAAACAAATCATTGATGCGGGGAGGCAATGACGATCTGGATGCGGTTTTTTCATCGCGGAGCGGCGATTCATCTGCCAGACTCATGGATCAAATTTGTCCGCCCCGGAAGGCACCGGAGGGTAATCAATAGATCGATTGCGTATTCGACGCGAACGACCATCAGAGCGAAGCATGGCGAGAACCGTCACCATCATTGTGAGCTTCAAGGGTTCGATGCTGGTAACGCCAGAGAAAGGTCAGCGGTGTTCCATTCCCGGCCAGAAATTGTATTTTGGGCTGGAACTCTGCATCAACATTCCACTCCCCCGCATTCATAATCGAAAATGATCAGGAGTGACGCAAATACCCGGAGGCACTGCGTCATCCCGGCAGCTCGTGGCATTCCGCGGTTAGCCGAAGCCTTTTGCGATATCTCTCAGCGAAAGGCGAGAGGTTCTCTCTGAGGCGAGTCTTAAGAGATCGGAGGTTTTGTTGAGTCTCAGCAGGAAGCCACAGGGAGCAGATTATTCGTCGATCTACGATACAGGCACTGACTAGTTCACCTCTGTTCCTCCGACAACATCCAATGGAGAAGGTCCAACGAAATTCGTCGGGTGCTTTTTCCATCAACCAGATCCGATGCGATATGAGGTCTCCGTATTGGCCTATCACGCAGGACCCGAGGTGACCGAAGGAGGCCCCTTAGCCCCAGGCAGGAGAAAATTCTTTGATGCGCTGGACTCTTCGTGGTCGTTTGTTACCCATAAGAAACTTCCGCTGCTTTAGCCACAGAAACTACGCATAATTAAGACGGTACCTATCAACACCAATTATCCTTTTTATCATCGGTCTAGCGTCGGGGGGGAGCGGAAGATACCCACTGGGGCTAATGAGTATTAGAACTGGGCGCCTCACACGTGTGTTGGATGTCAGATAACGGCTTCTACTCAGGGAGTTTGGAAATGATCCATACTTGTCATCGAAGTGTTGAAGTTCTTGACTGGGGCCGTCCCTGCTCTCGGAGCTTTCGTGAGCTACCCAAGAGCCGCGAGGGATCTCGGGCGCGCCCGTATTCATTGAATAAAGAAATGTTCAAACGCGAAAAGTCGTCGTAGTTTGGCCGACATCGATATCTTCCGCTCCGATCCCCCTCGTAAGAACGGAATCGCATCCCCCTCCTTAAGGGAACACTGAGTGAGATGAAAGATTTTCCAGCATCCCTTCCCAGAACGGACTAATGACGGGATAATAATCCTCGACAGCCACCCTCCTCTCTTCTTCCTTCTGGAGATGCGCGATTTCCGTCAACGAGATTATTCTCTATTCTCCCAGTCGTCTCCACGACGCGACACGGACCTGTAGAAGAAGGATGGATTCCGACAAACGAGATGAGACGCTGCTGCGCACACCTCCCAGCGGACACTTTAATCCTCGGGGGAAAATTGTCTGTTTCGTGGTCCAATTGTGGAAGCGCAACAACGGAGTGATTCTAAAATATTTGCTCGCCAAGTTGTGCGGTGGCGCCGCGTCCGGTGGTAACGTCTCCAGGACTGGTGTTGGATGAGCGTCGGCTCGAACGGCTTCTTTTCCATCAGGCTATTATGATGGAATGAATCGTCCAAACTCCGGACGAACACCTCCGAAGATGATCCGTATTCTCCGGAAGACGGACTTGAATCTTCTTCTGCTGCGCCGGAGGGGGGTCCCGTGGTCGGATGAAGCGGAATTTCTCTTAGCTTCGTGTCAAGAATCCGAGCACAATAACAGGAGACAGGCGACGCCCATTTCGATCGCGATTAGCGGGGCGAAAACAATAGATAGCTGAAACCGCCGGAAGTAATGAAAGCCACGATTCTTCCGAAACCGAAGGTGAAGAGCACAGAGCCGCAATCCGCCATTGGCCGTGAGGGCATGAATCATATTTCGGGGACGCGGGAATCGATACCGCAGCAACATTGGAAATCCAGCGGGGACTCACCCCGGTGTCCCCCTAGGGACACCTCGCCATTGAGGAAAATAGCACAAGAAAACGGGGTTCTCCTATTCTAAATGAGGTGTATGCTATAGAAGACCATTCGTCTCTGTCTGAACACCAAGATCCTCCGCAGACGAAAATTCCCTCGGGCGGGGGCTCTCGTCGTGTTTTGGATCGATCTTCAGAGAGAATCAATCAGGTCCGCGAAATACTACGAATGCGGCGGAAATTCGCCGGGAAAT